CTAATTGCTTTAACATTCTAAAATATAAACAGAGACAATACATCAATATGATCTAATTCTATCAGCTTTTTCTAAAGGCAAAAGTACTAGCCCATGCTTTTTCACTCCATTCTGAAATAAATCGTAAGTGGAGAAGGAAAAAAAAATCAAGAATTTTAACAATGCTAGTATATGTTGAATTTAGAATATATGCTGCTTGAACAAATACCTGTCCAATCATTGGGAATAATCTTCAATTTACTAATTCCCTTCTAAGTCTACATTTCTAGGCACACTTTTAAGATGGTGTCAAAAATGTGGCTTGGTCTACCTTACTGCAGTAAATTGTTCTAACTTACATTATTCACTTAACTAAAATTGTGTAACTGTAGTTGATGTTGTTAGGGCCACTTGCCCTGGGGGCTACACTGTGCTGCTGATGAGAAAGTATCTTCTATTGACTTTCCTTACACTTCTCAGGGAGATAGTTGGGAGAAGAGCGGACTCAGGGCAGGAATAGAGGTGGCTGCTAGCTTCACCTTGGAAGCTGCTCAGGGCAGCAGGGACCATGCACCCTGCCTTCTCCCCAGGGGTCAGCGAAGGCTCTCTCCCTCCCCTTGACCTTTCCCAGGGCTAGTGGGGGCCCTCTCTGGCCCTTCCTGAGGTGAAAGGGGCTGGCAGGGATGGACTCCTGGGAATTTTGTTCCTATTTCCACCCTATCTTCTGTCTGTCACTCTGCCCCAGTTCCTTCACAGACATAGCAAAAGGCACATCTCTGACAGCAGGCAGAAATATTGCCAAATTCCATGTTCCTGTTCCAAAGTATGGGAGCGCTAAGAACTTCTCAGTGAAACTGTTGTAAGAATTTTTTAACGATCAAATACAATGTAATCTTTAACTCCATTCTTGGAAATGACTTCATCATTTTACCTGAAATTCTCATAAAAAATTTCAGCCAGAGGCAGAAAGCCCAGCCTGAATTTGGCAAAGTTCTAAGCAACCAAAACCTGGATCTTATACTGGGCAGCATTGTGTAATCTTTCTTATAAGTGTTGCAAGCTGTGCCACATATTAATAATGAGCTTCATCATCCTGTTCTGTGATAAAATCAGCTAAAGGAGGAATCATTCTGTAGGAGTCCTCTTCCTCCCACTTCCAAAAGGTCAAAGGGGCCTTTGATCATTGATGCCAAATGTTCTCTCATCCTGTATTCTGGGTAGTTCTACTCCACTGGGATTACATTTAGGAGACTCTTGACTGTAATTGGCCTCAAATTCCTTAGGGAGGTGAAATTTAAAGAGAATGTCTTGAAAAAGTAATAGTGTGAGAAATTTTGGCAGACCAGGTTTCAGCTTATGTCAAGGTATCTAGGTCTCAAGCAAACACTGACACACAGCTGGAACCTGTCTGGCTCACTCGTTAGTTTTGTTAAAATATGTTTTAGAGTTATAAAAATGTATTTGCACCTTATGGAATGCTTGTAACTGATGCATACAGTAATCTCACTTATAATTATATCTCATGTTATAGAACAAAGTAAAAGTTTTTCTGTCCAGCATGTTGGAGGAATGGGAGGTACCAGTAAGTGAAAAATTCTGGTTAAGAGAGGGAGTCTGCGTCTGGGAGGAGATGGAGAGGTGGAGGTGGAGGGAAGACGGGGAGGGTGTGCTGGGTGCAGACTGCGGGGCTACGTCTAGACTGCAGACTTTTTGCGTAAGAAGTTTTTATCAGAAGAGATCCTCATGCGCAAGAACATGTCCACACTGTAAAAGCACGTTTGCGTAAGAAGTTTTTATCAGAAGAGATCTTCATGCGCAAGAGCATGTCCACACTGTAAAAGCACGTTGAAAAAGCGCTGGGCTTTTACAATAGTGTCCAGACTGCATGGATGCTTTCTCAAAAGGAAGCTCTGATTGGTATGCACAGAATGGGCACCAGGGCACCTGTGCTTTTTCCTTTTTCTGCACAACCCTCCTCCCCCCTTCCCTGTCCACACACACCTTTTTGAGAAATAACTCTTTTGCAAAAAGGCTTCTTCCTTGTAGGAAGAGGAATACAAATTGCCCCAAAACCCCTCTGTTCTTTTGATTCTCTTGTGGAAAAACATGCTTGAGATGTAGATGCTCCGTGAGTTTTTGTAGAAAATCAGCTGGTTTTCCACAAAAACTCTATAATGTAGATATAGCCTGAGAGTTTGGGTGTGGGAGGAGCTTCAGGGGGTGCTCACCTCTGGTGGGATCCTGCAAACAGCAACCTGTCCCTGCTGCTCCTGGTGTAGGCACAGTGAACACCCACTAGACTCAGCACCTTCCCCTGCACCCTAAACACGTGTGGCCATTCCTCCATCTAGCAGCAGGGGCACATTGCTGCTTCCAGTGAGCCATGTGGAGCAAGGTAGGGAGCTTGCCAGTCCTGTGCTCACTAGACTATAAACTGGATTTTCTATGAAAATTAAAAATACCAGTTTATAAAGTTTTCCAGTTACTACAGGGTGGGAAAACAGCATTTACTGTAATATGTGTGTTTGCTCTGTAACTGTAAATCACAAGTCAGGAGAAAAGTATTACAAAGTGAGAAATACTAGTTGCCCCGCCATAGGTTTTTCTTCTCTTCCCAACAAAAGGAGGCCCACCAGCACCAGGTAAGCCACTGTGGAATATCAGAGAACAAAAGATGATTTTTGCGCCACTTGAATTCTAGGAGGCAAGGATTACTAAGCGCAAGCAAAAGATCCCCAGTGCTGTGTCTAGGTTAACCATAAAGGACATATAATGCTTGATTATGGAAACTTCTATAGTCTTTTGAAACTTGATTAACTCATTTGTGTGCATCTCTCACCTGCTTTAACTTTCCTTTCCTAGTGAATAAATCTTTAGATAGTAGATCACAGTATTGACTAAGCATTGCATTTAATGAGAGATGTTCTGTGCAACTGACCTGGAGTGAGTGACTTGTCTTCTGGAACTGAGTAAATTAAATATAGCTGTTATCTTTGATGTAAAAGACCATCTGTCACAAAGATAAGTTTGAGTGGCAATATAAATGAGAGTCAGGACCACATTTTCATTTGGGCACAGTAGGCACACACCTTGGAATATCGCAATTCTATAAGTGCCTAAAAGTTAAACTAGGTTAAAAGTTTTATTCTTTATGGAAAACATTAAGGTCAGCTATAGGTGGCAGAGATGTGAAGGACTAGCCAGACCCCAGGCTCCACACAGGGTTGCTGCTTTAAAAAGCCACCTGCAGCCTGGGGCCAGCTGGGGTGTCCCCAGGCTGCACATGGCATTTCAAAGCAGCAGCTCTGCATGGAGCCCTGATCAGCTGGGGACTCCCCCACTGACCCTGGGCTCCGCAGCAACATCCCTAAGTGTAGCAAAATGCATCAACTATTCGATTAGTCAATTAACTAATACTTAACATTCTTAGTAGGTGGGGGGGATGCTTAAGACATTGTGACCAGGGGCATGTAAGATATAAATCCAGCCCTCTGATTAGAGTACCCAACAGCACTGTTTGTGACCCCATGTTAAAGCTGCTAATAGTGCTTGAGTTCATACTTGATAATTGATGGGTGAATCTAAGTTTAGAACTCTCAACCAATTATGGGCTGTGCCCTGGTTCTTAATAGTCTTCCTTGAGGTTGGTACTCATGCTCTTGAGCTTCTACCATACACTGTGACAGTATGAGAGCAGTGCTGGGCAACTTAAGCGAGTGGGTGGGCTGCATGACTGGCTCTCCATCCCAGTGAGCTGCAAGACTGTCATAACCAAAGGCTGTCTCCCAAGATAGGGTAGTTTTGCTAATTGTGCTTGCATACCTAGAATTTGCAGTGTGCCCATTGAACTGTAGTAGCACTTCGATTGGATGCAGAGGGAGCACATAGCTCTCTCAGTCACTATTATGTGCAATCTGCATGTACCTCATTTCACATGCATATCACTTTAGTAATACTGGTAGGAAAACAAAAAGACATGGATGGAAACCTGTGGAATCTATCAATCCTGTGCAACAGTAAACAAAATGTCTTCTTGGCCATACACAGAACCCCAATAGGCTGCGTGTTGGCCACTTCTGGTCCAGATTGTCCCTCTAGTACTGTTCAGAGACCAGCCCTGCTCTAACTCCCCTACTACCCAAGAGCCATATGGAGCCTACTCCTCTTCAGTGTGCGTGCGTCTCTCTCTGATCCTGTTAATTTCAGTCACTGCTAGATTAAGCTGTCAGTGTCCATCTTGAAGGTGAGTGTACTCTACTATCTTGCATAATTTTAGGAGAATCGCTATCAAAAGCTACATTAAAAAAGTTACAAAGTAAAGGAGCACTAAAATTAAGAAGTGCCAGAAATTAAAGTTTCTACACAGCTTCCACATAATGCAGGATATGCATTCTGATTCAGCTGGAACTGCTGAAACCAAATTATACAAAACTAAACAGTTGTTTCAGTACCAATTTATAGAAAAAAAATAACAGCCTGAAAGTATGAAGATAATGTTATGCAATTAAATTATGCATCTTAATACATTAATAGTGCCAAGCATTTTCATTTTAGATCTTTAATTTCCAAAGACTTGGAAGAGCCACATATTCACTAAAACTATTTAATAGAAACTCAAATAAAAAAGATTTTAATCTTACTTAAGCACACAGAGAAACCCCCTCACTCCCCATTTTTTTTTTAAAAAAAACCCACTCACGCACACAAAAATTAAGCTTTGTAAATAAAAATACTTTGGAAGTTGACTTTTTTTAAAAGAATGTTTTTCAGAGTTTTCAAACTTGTATTTCTTTTTGGGTGAAAATGTGTGGACATTCTGGAAATGCATAGGGCTGCTGAGGCAAATTACTTAAGTAATTTTTTAAAAGGAAAGGTTGCAAGATTCTGTCTTGGAAAATAACATGACTTAACATGCAAACCAAAAATCAGCTATCACTTCTGAGTAGTCAGTGCCCAAAATTCCTTTGTAGCCCAAATCAAAATAACCAATGTAAGTAATTTTTTTTAAAAAAAGCTTAAAGGTATTTTAACTTTTTATTTCTTAAATTATTCTTTGGCATAAAATATCATAATCAGATCAAGTCTAGACTTTTTAAATACATTTATTAGATCACATAAATAGTTTGCAACTATTGCATTTATCTGTTCCCTTTTTCATGTTCTTGGCACACAATATAGCTCTTACAATAATATTTACAAAATTGGTATAAACATCTATGGAAAATAAAATGAAAATAATGAAGTACATAAAAGGTCAATAAATAGCAAAATGGAGTGAATATAGAAGGACAAGTTGTTCATTTGTCCTGTATTGAAGATTTAACTATTACAGGGGTAAAAGAATAATCCACTTAAAAAAAAAAAAAAAAAGGTTAAAACTTGATTCTTGATTCCCATTTTTCATTTTTTATTAACAAATAAACTATACAATTTTATGAAGTTCAAATCTTAATTGATAGTTACTGAATGCAATTTTCATTATTTTAGGCAACAGCTGTTCTGGTTTAGATAAGGAAGCTTACACAACACATCTATGCTTTCAAGTTAGTGGTTTTGAAATGTGCATGTTGAAATCCAGATTTCAGTTCCTATTCTCTCTTCCAATATGGCACCAAAGACGCCTTAATGGGCAGTAGTATAGAGTCTGTTCTTCATGAAGATGATACTAGACAGATGTTGCCTGATACCTGGGTAATGTTGAATGTGATTAAACCAGCGAGACACATTAAGGTATTTCTCCTTCTCTTGCACTGTAAGTTCAGCCTAAACAAGGGAAGAAATATAAGATGTCATATTCCTACTAACACAGAAATATAATAAATTACAGAAATAAAAAGTAGCTTTATAAAGTCAGTTCTTAAATAGGCTGAAAAAAATTATGACAGTCTAGCAGTAATGTACATTTTTCTATTTTTGGTTGTAGAGTTTTAAAGCCATGTTAGCTTTATGAAAGTCAAGATTTTCAACCATAATTTGCACAAGTCAACAAACATAACTGGAGGCTCAACTGTATAGTTTTAAAGCAGAGATTACAAAGCATACAGGACTGATTCTTGTTCCAGTAGCTCTAAGAAAGAAAGAAAGGCTGAAATTTAGCATGGGGATTACTTTACAACCTCCCTAGGAAAAGTTCTGAAAGACACATAAGTAATCCTCATTGTTGAGCTCTAGTCTAGGAAGCACTTGGTTGAACTGCAGTATTGTATCTCAAAGCAATGCATAGTTTACATTTTAAAAAGTAGTACTGAATAGAGGGATGGGCAGCTTTTGGCTCTCTGCATGTTCAGGCTCTGTGGACCCATTCACCACCCCGCCCCCTTACAGAGGTGGTGGTTGGTAGGGTGGGAGGAGGGCAGGTAAGAGCCAGTGCTGGGTGGAGCCAGCTTAAAAGCCAGTTACCCCCAGCACCAGCTCCGCGGTGCCACCTGCCCCTATTAGAAGTAGCGGCACAGGGGAGGGGAGGCTGCTGCTGCTGGGGGCCAGCCGCAGCATGGGTGGCTCCTGGAGCTGACACAAGGCAGGACTACTCTGTCCTGGCTTAAGCTGGCTCTGTAAAGCTACAGAAGGAGTAGCTCCCAGAGAGGTCCTTATCGACTAATCATGTTATATCGACTACATGATTAGCCAGATAACTGCAATTTATCCTTTATATAGTGCAATATAAGGTAAGGATATTAGTTTTAAATCTATTTATCCAGATACTACAGACATAACATTCCCTTTGACTGCTCCACTGCTAAATACGGGTTGACCTCTCTAGTTCAGAACTGTCTGATCTGGCAACATCCATCATCCAAAATGATTTCAGTTAGCCAGATGTCCACTTTTCATGGGTGTGGCCAAGTTTCGTGTGGTACCATAAAGTTTTTGTTTATAGCCACCAGTCTTCTCTCTCTGTGTGCTGTGCTGTTATTTAGCTCTAATTTACCCCTAAATTAGGGATGTTTGATAGCATGTAATTGAATAATCATGTAACCACATGAAATTTTAGCAGTTACATGACTATTCAATAGTCCCTGGGGGCAGGGCTGACAGCCCACACTGCTGCCTCTCTATAAGCACCAGCTCCTGTTCTCTCTATCAGAGGCAGCAGTGCGGAGATGGGGGAGGCAGGCGGATCTGGCGTTCATGAGGTGCCTGCTTAAAGCCAACTCTTCAAGGGCACTGGCTCCTGCTCCTCCTCCCCACCTGCTGCCTCTGATACAGAAGTGGGGGGAGAAGAAGGAAGAGTGCGTGTAGTCGACAAGATTAACCGATAAGCCGAAATGTATCGATTAATAGTGTTGTAATCTATGCTTTGACCTCCCATGGTCCAGAAAATTCTCTCGTATAGAACCAGTCAGGTCCCGAGGGTGCTGGTCTAGAGAGGTTCAACCTAGGGATGTTAAGGACTAGTTGACTAGCCGATAAGCAAATGTTATCAGATAGAGGCAGCAAAGAGGAGAGGAGAGGGGGTACTTCAAAGTGGCGGTGCCGAGGTAGTGTTCAAAGGGGAAGCACTGTACAGCTGAGCCTGGGGTCAGCTGGGGAGTCCCCTGCTGATCTCAAGCTCCAGCAAGGCATTTCTGTGAAACCTTGGATCAGCTGGGGCATTCCCAGCTGACCCCAGGCTCTGGGGGAAATGCTGCACAGAACCCCGGCTCCACTCTGCGCTGCCACTTTAAAATGCACAAGAGCTCCTGCTGGGGACTCTTGTACATTTCAAAGCTGGCACCCACTTGCAGCCCAGAGTCAGAGGGACTTCCCACTGGCCCTGGGCTGCATGTGGATTTCTGTATTCCTCCTTCCGCGGGGGCTCTTGTACATTTCAAAGGAGGAATGTGGAAGTGCCTATTGAGTAGTCAATGGAAATTCCATCAACTAGTCAATTAACTGTTACTTAACATCCTTAGTTCAACCTGTATTACTTTAAATAGGGAAGCAAATTAAATCTGAAATACTGACAAAACTCTGTCCTTTAATCCGTGTTAATTACAGAACAGATAAAGTAGTATTTCAATTTATTTGGTAATCTTGTAAAGCAAGAAATGGGTATTCTAATGCATTAATAATTATGACTTAGAAAAATAATCAAATATTACTTACTATGATGTGATGTAGCCCATAGTACATTAGAATATCTGCTAAAGTGAAGTTGTTTCTGGCAAGGTAGACTTTGTCTTCAAGGTATAAGTTAAGATCCTAAAAGAATATAAAAGAATTACAAAGTCAATTCAATTCCAGTTGGATAGAACTTTAATGAAACGAATGAAATACCCTCCTAAGAAATTAGAATGCTTGGAAAATTGCTTCTTACATTAACTATCAGTTTAAAAATCTGTCAGCTAGTCACAATAGCTGAAATGGTCTTAATTATTCCCATTCAGAAGAGACTGTTAAAAAGAGTTTAAGTTGAAGCGTGATTAGGTGAAGATGAGCTAACAACCCACCCCTAAATAACCCTGAATAACTTCCCTTTATAAGCAGAACATCCACACTACCATGACCGTTATTTTGAAATAATAGGCTGCTGATTTCGAAATCCGTACTCTTGGTTTCCTCAGGGAATAACGCTTATTTTGAAATAGCATTAGTGTGCATGCTCCAGTACCGCTATTTTGAAATGACTCTCTAGAGCAGTGGTAGGGATTTAGGCCTAGTGAACAGAGGATGGAGAAATGTATTCACAGTGAAGAAGTTCTATATCTAGAGATTTCTAAATATCCAAAGCTCAAAATACATAACACACCTTGCTTTTCTTTTGTATTTTTCCATATCTCCCAGCTCCCTGAATCTCACCTCTCTCTTGTACTTCATCCTGTTCTCTGCATTCCTCCCATGTTCTACCAGTCTTAAGCTCCCCTCCAAACATCCACTACCCTTGAGCCCCCATTCCAACACCAGCAAGGCACAGCTCTATTCTGCTTTCTCATGTCTCTAGTAGATTCTTTCTTCCTCCACATTTCCCGTCTCCAAGGCTCCTCTGTACCCAATCCCACACCCCACTAAACAGCAAGACAAGAAAAGCCAAACAGCAAACAAGAGACAGAGCACGGAGGAAAGAACAAACTGAACAGTCTTTAACTTTATACATCTCTTACACTATTCAGTTTTCCAGTTCCTCTGAGTCTGGGAACTTTCTGACTTTGTTCCTGTGGTAGGTTGAGGCAAGGAGTGTGTGCAGCCATGTACACTTCTTTCTCTCCTCAATCTGTTTCTTCCAGCCTTCCCATGCTACTTCCCTCTAGGTCTACTCTAAAGAGAAAATTCAGAACCCCTTACTCAGATACTAAGATGGGTGGATGTTCATCCAATCCCTTGGGTATTAAAAAGATCTATAATAAGTAACACATCAAACCAGGAAGGCTCTACTTATTATAGATCTTTTTAATACCCAACACATCAAACCAGGAAGGCTGCTCTTCTTTCGAAAGCCAACAAAACAACATTTTCAAAAAGGTCAAAGATTTTTAAATACAACTTTACAACACCTTTTCTGATGTTTTCAAGTTTCCCTAAAAAATTTATCCTGGCATGAGATGTGGAATAATCCATTTCAGGCAGACTGGCTTCTTTTTGAGGAAATTTGGGGCAAAGGAAATGGGCCGATCATCAACTTTATAATTAGAAACTAGTTTCAGCATTAACTATGGAGCAGGTTCCATCATCTTTTTGGGGGTATACCACAGCATGAAAGTCAGTAAAATGGTGAGAATTTATAAATATTTTGATATTGCATTTGAAGAATTTGGCAAAACTGACACAATTATGCCAATTTACTATTTGTTTCAATCTTGTCTTGACTAGTCTTTTGCACTTTGGCAACTGCTGAATGTTCTGTTTTGTTTTCTATTTATACAGTAAATCAGGGAAAATGTTAACCCCTACACAGTTAAAATTGTATAAGGTCACTTGCCCCTAGCTAAACAGTTGTTTTTAATTTAAACTATTTGCTGCCTTGTTCATATTATTTAGCTCTCAAATTACTTTAAATATCAAGAGGGGCACAAAGGTATTATAGAAATTATTTAGTCACACAAAAATGCAAAGGCTAATGCAGTGTTAAGGGGAAAAGCTTGCAAAGCTAATCTGTAAATCAATTTACTAAAAGGCTACCTATCACCTTGCATGAAAATACAATATAGAGTCCAATCAACTTTTTTGTTGTGTCACAACTATAAAGCTCTACTTAGTTAAGGTATGTCTACATTGCATTCCTCCTTCGAGAGGAATGCAAATGCAGACAAATGAAAGTGCAAATGAAACGCGGAATTGAATTTCCCGTGCTTCATTTGCATAATCGCGGCTGGCCGCTTTTTCGAAATACTGTATTTCGAGGAAAAGGGGTTATTTTGAAAATAAACCCTTCTTTTGAAATAAGCCTCATTTTTTTTTAAGGAGTAAGAGTTAAGGGTTATTTCGAAGGAAGGGTTTCTTTTCAAAATAACCGTGTGGACCGCATTTTTTTCTTGAAATATGGTATTTCGGAAAAGCAGCCAGCTGCAATTATGCAAATGAAGCACAGGAAATTCAAATCCGCACTTCATTTGCAATTTCGTTTGTCTGCATTTGCATTCCTTTCTCGAAGGAGGAATGCAATGTAGACATACCCTAACACAGTAACTTGTAAACCTCTGTTGAATTCAATAGTCCTCGGGGGAGGAGGCAAGCAGGGCCAACAGCCAGTATGCTCCTGGCCCCACTCCCAGGGCGGTCCCTGCCACTCCTTGCTGCTGCCTCTGTATCAGCTCCCCTTCCAGACTGGCTCCTGCTCCTGGCAGGTGGGAAGCCAGATGGAATAAAAATGATTATTTTAGCAACTGGAATAGGATCAGTGTGCTCTATTCTTAGAGAAATAAAGTTAATTCTCCCCCTTCCCCCACTTCAGCTATCATGGCGGTGATGGTAAATATAATAATTAAGTTTATATTCTGAAACAGTAGCTGGTGCTACTTCTATAACACCACAGTACAGGGTACGATTATTTGCTATTTTCTGAATACTTTGAGATTGTTCAGTTAATTTTTCTGCATCGTGGGCTAGTACTAGGCTTCCCATGGACAAGTTCACGTACATTTCTACCCAACAGAATGATGCTAATTTTAAAGTTTCGAGGTTGAAATTTCTAAAAGGCAATTCCCTCTTAAATGACAGGGATACTGAACTGAATTCTTCCTCAGGTCCTGGGAACGTTAGTCAAACCAGTAACCTAAAAGATACAACAAACTAGCTTCCAAAGTGGACTGATTTAAATCAAAGCGATTTCAAATCAGCAAGCAAGAAAAAAAAATAGAATTAAGCCAAGAATAACTGTTTAGCATTCATACTTTTTATCGTTCTCTCAAAGAAAGATGTATTCTCATTGGCTGGTGACAATTAAAACATGACTTTGCAATTAAAATACAGCACTTTACATATCCAGACATATGTTAGGAAACTAACACAGCGGGGCACAGGCTATCCAATAAGTTTCTGGACTGCATTGGAGACAACTTTCTGTTTCAGAAGGTTGAAAAAGCTACCAGAGGAGAAGCTGTTCTGGATTTGGTTTTAACAAATAGGGAGGAACTAGTTGAGAACTTGAAAGTGGAAGACAGTATAGGGGACAGTGATCATGAAATAATAGAGTTCATGATCTTAAGGAAAGGTAGAAGGGAGACCAGCACAATTGAGGTAATGGATTTCAGGAAGGCAGATTTTGATAAGCTCAGAGAACTTGTAGGTAAGGTCTCATGGGAAGCAAGACTGAAGGGAAAAACAACTCAGGAGAGTTGGAAGTATTTCAAAGGGACGTTAAGGGCCCAAAAGTAAACAATTCCGCTGTGTAGGAAAGACAGAAAATATGGCAAAAGACCAGCTTGGCTTAACAAGGAGATCTTGTATGATCTCAAAATAAAAAAGGAGTCATATAAAAAATGGAAACTAGGACAAATAACAAAGGATGAATATAGGCAAGCAACACGGGAATGCAGGGGCAAGATTAGGAAGGCAAAGGCACAAAATGAGATCAAACTAGCTACAGGCATAAAGGGAAACAAGAAGACCTTTTATAAATACATTAAAAGCAAGAGGAAGACCAAGGACAGGGGAGGCCCACTGCTTAGTGAGGAGGGAGAAGCAGTAACAGGAAACTTGGAAATGGCAGAGATGCTCAATGACTTCTTTGTTTCGGTCTTCACCGAGAAGTCTGGAGGTGTGCCTAACGTAGTGAATACAAGCAGAGAGAGGGTAAGTTTAGAAGATAGGATACACAAAGAACAAGTTAAAAATCACTTAGGAAAGTTAGATGTCAGCAAGTCACCAGGTCCTGATGAAATGCATCCCAGGATACCTCCTCTATCAGCTCCTTGAGTATCTGAGCCTTTAGCTATGATTTTTGAAAAATCATGGCAGACGGGAGATTCCAGAAGACTGGAAAAGGGCAAATATTGTGCCCATCTATAAAAAGGGGAATAAGAACAACCCAGGAAACTACAGACCGGTCAGTTTAACGTCTGTCCCAGGGAAGATAATGGATCAGGTAATTAAGGAAATCATATGCAAACTATATTTATACACATTTAAGTAAATAGCTTAACTCACATTTACTCAAATTAATGTTCACATTTCTATGTTAGAAAACATAGTACGATATATTTCTTATTTATTAGATAGCTAACTATTTGTGTGTCAAGCTCTTTTGATGGAAATTAAGTTATTCAATCAAACAGTATTTTATTAGTTAAAACAGACTTAAATGTGCTGAATGCATAAGAAAAACAAATTGAGCAAAAGTGAATTATTAATGCTTGATCTATAGTTGTTGATTTGACATGTTATTTGTAGTCACTATATCTTTCAAGATTTCAGAACTAACAGCTATCTTTTCTCACCTAGTTTCTATTCATAAGTTGGAGAAGGAGAATAAGCTCTTCTAATTTTTAACTTCCATTTGGTTTCTGAACTCTGAATAATCATCATAGAACTGAACTAGAGGAATATTTTCTTCATTTCAGTTTACTCTCTATATTTAAAAGAAAGGCTAAGGATGTCAAAAGCTAGTGCTGTATTTCAGCAAATCCCTGTTACCCACCTGAGCCAGTAATTTTCACCAACTAAAGGATCTGACTTTCTTTAAAGCTTAGCAACAAACATGTAGGCTATGTCTACACTCTCAGCTTCTTGCACCATAAATATGTAAATGAGGTTAAGCGTGGAATATC